TTCTACCTCCGACTCGCCGGCGATGGCAACCGAATGATGCAAAAGCAGATACCGTTGACTCAAACGCATCCCACAAAACACTACCCGTAATGCCATATATATGTCATTCAAAGGGTTTATAATTATTATAAAAGTCAACTAATTATAAGTTATTTATAAATAATTTAAATATATTTCTTAAATAAAAGTTTTACAAAAGGTTTTTGGACTGGATTTTTGATCACTTTTCAATACATTTTACAGATTCGTTCTAGGACCTATGGTTAAAAGTTATAATTAATATTTTGATAAAATTTAAAAACTAATGTCCATGTATCAAACGCATTTTAATTTTACGCAGAATAGTTTTTAAAGTTTAAAAATCGCATATGAAATTGCCAAGGTGCAACTATTTATCATATTTTCAAAGTAAATCAAAATACTTAAAAGTACTCAAAAACCTAATGTAAACTTGTTTGATTCTCAAAATGACCAAAACTAGCCTATAGCATATATGTTATAATGGATATAGGCCAGTTTTGGCCACTTTGAGAATCAAACAAGTTTACGTTTATTTTCAATTAGAGTTTCACTAATTTTCTGTCAATACTGTATATTGCATAGTTAATTATATTTTTATCGTTTAAAGTTTAAATTACACTACATGGAAAGTGAGATCAATTATAGGTGGTTCATTGAATAAAATTGTAAAGTAATTTATATTTTGATACAGAACCCGTACTGGTACATTTAATCAATAATCGTAATGATAAAATATGTTCACAAAGTACTAGTCAATAGTCTACTTAATAAATTATAGTATTATAGCTTTATTTGTCAAGCCAATAGTGCATATGTTATTTAGATTAGTCTTATTGCTAGAAATAATATGTCAAAAACAATATTAAGCACGATAATTGATATAATAGTTTATTATTACGTTGAAGACCGTTTTTAAAAAATTATAGTATAACTGTACTTAAAATCTGTTTGCTTATAATCTTAATTAATAAAATAATAATTAAACTAAATGTAGTNATTATCATATAAAGTGAAATAAATTTTAAAATTATTATTGGTTTGCATTTGTTTTAGTATTATTCCTATGGAAATATATCCCGAGTGATACTAACCAATGTTATGCTGCTTCAGTGTGTTGTGGTCCGCCTCCAGCGTCTTCTTGTAATCCTCGGCCCCTTTGATGTTACCGTAGCGGCCGACCGTCCAGGGCTGCAACATATCGAGCTTCGTGTAGACGTCCTTCCAGGCGGTGGTGTCGGTGCGCCACTGGGTCTGCACACCGCCCGCCACATAGAGACCCTGTTGCTTGAAGTGCTCGATGAGGGCAATGGCGCCCTTCGTGTCCTGCGGCCTTCCGTTAAACCCGAAGCCCCAGATGCAGACCACGGGTTTGCCGTTCTGGTGGGCGTAGGCCTTACTGGACACCAGGCGCTTGATGTTGTTGTCGTAGTCCTCGATGATTTCAGTCGCGAAGTTATTCCAACCGCTGATATCCCACATGATGTAAAACTTGCGGTCGTGAGCCTCGGCGGCCGCCCTCACGTTGTCGGCCACACCGTTCAAACTTTTCTGTGCGATTGGGTCGCGTTTAACGCTACTCGCGAATCGCTGGAGGGCCGCCGTATCGATGTTATCCTGATAATGGGTTTCGTACGTTTAATTCAATGAATACAGTGGATATAGTGTGCAAATGTAGGCCCTTTTGCAGGCCAGGGCAGGGTTTTTAAAGCGACTGACAGTAATTTATCTTTAACCTCTTGAGTGGGGGTGGGGGTAAGAGTTGACCCAACAAAACATGTTATAGCAATATCTTATAGTATTACTAATACCTATAGTTAATTGCAATGCATTTGAATAAAAGCTATTTTCAAATGTAAACGTACGGGTCATGTAATTGTCGTCTTTATGACATACACTCATTGATAAATAGCGAAACATAAGGCTATTCAAGGATATATATGGTCACCCGGATAGTCACCTCTTTCATCCATTTGAAGTGTGTGTCCACAGTCTGCTTATCCCACGACGAGAACAACTTAGCCGGCTGTCCATTGCCGAGGTTCGCGTAACCGGTTTGGTAGGTATGTGTGTATTCCCGAGTGTCAGGATAGATTTCAAAATTTGTGTGATCTTTGTAAGGATGGTCGCTATTGTGGGGCCAATGGATCCACGAATTATGCGGTGAGTTATCCCCTTTGGCGCCGAACCATCCCTGGTATCCGACCGTCAGTTTACCGACAACGTCGCCGACGGCACTGGAGGCCAGTAGTGGTGTGGCCGCCGACAGGCATACTATGAGCACTATAACTGCACTAGGTGCTGTCATTTCACTTTCTATTTTTCAATACACGATATGAACTGATCGCAAAGTTTATCGTTTTATATATACGTAAGTTATACTGTAAAATATATCGTGTATTTTACTTAGGTATATGTATTCGAACCATGCACCTGCTTGATCATTAATTATTTATAATTAATAAATTGAAAATTTATTTGATAAGTAGTACATTAAAAAGTTTCATAATCTGACCCAGGAGACATTCAATGTCAATTGCGTTAAATACAATATTAAGGACTTATCAGTACATTCATACCAAAGTATTTTTTCTAATAAAACTTATTTTAGATTCATAAAAGATATTGAAAGTATATGAATGTAAAAATATATTTTTAGAAAGTATATTAAATATGAAGGTATGACAATTACAATAACAAATTTAATTTATACAGAATAATAAAAATTATTTAATTAATTATGATACGTTAGAACGATTTTGAATTTTAGACAAATGTCATTTATAGTTAATATATCATGGAGAGCTTAGCATTATACAATACTACATTTAGTTTAATTATTATTATATATTGAAGATTATAACTTATAATTTATAAGCAAATAGATTTCAAGTACAGTTATACTATAATTTTTGAAAAACGGTCTTCAACGTAATAATAAACTATTATATCAATTATCGTGCTTAATATTGTTTTTGACAGATTATTTCTAGCAATAAGACTAATCTAAATAACACATGCACTAGTGGCTTGGCTAATAAAACTATATACAATAATACTATAATTTATTAAGTAGACTATTGGTTAGTACATTGTTTTAGGATCTTTGTGAACGTATTTTATTATTATCATTATTGATTAAATGTACCAGTACGGGTTCTGTGTCAAAATATAAATTACTTTACAATTTTATTCAATGAACCACCTACAATTTATTTTATTTTTCATGTAGTGTTTAAAAGACTATTGACAGAAAATTAGTGAAACTCTCATTGAAAATAAACGTATAATACATTAAGTTTTTGAGTACTTTTAAGTATTTTGATTTAACTTTGAAAATATGATAAATAGTTGCACCTTGACAATTTCACATGCGATTTGTAAACTTTAAAAACTATTCTGCGTAAAATTAAAATGCGTTTGATACATGGATATTAGTTTTTAAAAATTTTATCAAAATATTAATTATAACTATTTTAACCATAGATCCTGTAACAAATCTGTAAAGTGTATTGAAAAGTGCTCAAAAATCCAGTCAAACCCTTTTGTAAAAGTTTAAATATTGAGCTTCAAACTGTACATGGTCATAAACACATTTTTCGAAACAAATAATAAGAAAAGTTATTCAACCAATTTATACCAGGTATCAAATCATATAAATATATTAATCATTCTTTTAGACTAGATTTTTAAGCTCTTTTCGATGCACTTTACAGAATTGTTCTGGATTTCAAAAGTTACTGTACAGTATAACATCCCCTGATAATTTTGTGGCTTTCAATATAAAACTTGAATTACATTTCATGTCAAGAATTGTCAGTTCAATACAAGTCATACTCTCTATTCATACTTTAATTACTGTTCAAACAAAACAAATATAATAATTTAAATGAAAACAAAAATTATTTCAAATTAAATTGTTTATTCATAGTAATTGCTGATATTATAGAAACATCATATAATCGTAATAAGTATTTAACAAAGTATTTATTTGTTCGTCAAATGTTTGCGTTCATGTCGTCTATAAATTGACGGATCAGTGAAACGTTTGCCGCAATCTTTGTCACAAACGTATGGCTTTTCTCCCGTATGAATGCGTTTGTGTTTAATAAGTGCTGCCTTTTCGGTGAATTTTTTGCCGCAATTATCTACATCGCAAATGAATAACTTTAGTTTGAGTTTCAAGTGAATGGCATTTTTGTGTTGAATTAGCGCTGATTTCTTTGCAAATCTTTTGTTGCAATCCATGCCATCGCAGGCGTAGGGCTTCTCTCCCGAGTGGACCCGTTTGTGACCAATTAAATCACTCTTCAGAGCGCATCTTTGGTCGCATCCCTTATAATAACATTTAAATCTTTTTACCTTCAAATGAACGGCACTTTTGTGTCTATTTAAATAGGATTTCTGTGCGAATCGTTTGTCACAATCCATGACATCGCAGACAAATGGTTTTTCTCCCGAGTGGACCCGTTTGTGATGAATTACATCACTAGGCCTCGTAAACCTCTTATCACATCCCTTGTGATCGCATTTAAATCTCTTTACCTTCAAATGAACGACACTTTTGTGTTGATTTAAAATCTCTTTTCGTGCGAAACATTGACCGCAATCACTGTAATTACATTTGAATTGCTTTTCTCCCGAATGCAGACGTTTGTGTCGATTGAGATCATACTTCTGAGAAAACCGTTGACCACAACCCTCGACATCGCATCTGAATCTCTTAAGCTTTAAATGGACGGCACTCTTGTGTTGATTGAGATTTGATTTATGAGCGAATCGTTTGCCACAATTGGGCCAAAAACACACAAATGGGCGCTCATTGCGGACACTCTTAGCACCCGAACTACTAGTGCTGGCAATCGGTTCACTATCAACGCTGTCTTCTCTGTCAAACTCTTCTTCTCCGACACCACTCTCTCCGCCCTCTTCTACTTCCGACACCTCTTCCGGTCCTTCCGTCTCATCTCTGTCTCTGTCGTCGATCTCTGTGTCCAAAGTCTGCACTTCTTATATCTCCTCTTGTGCTTCCGGGTCACCACTATTCTCGTTCAACACTTCATTCAATCCCTGTATCTCCCGGTGCTCTTCCGATTCATCATTCAATTGGTTGTCATTATAATTGGCATTAATTGTCAATAATTTTCGACAATTTGTGAAATCAATTAATTTGTCATTCAATTCATTATTGTCTCCAAAACTACAATCAATTGAATTCTCAATGAATTGAGTCTTAGTTTCACACAAATTGTTATCAAAAGCCTTTAGATTTGACAATAAATTCAGTTTAGACTTCAATCCACTGTACTTTGAATTCATGTTTAAATTTATATTCATTATGAGTGACAATCAATTCAATGATAATACAAAATTAATTCACAATTTTAAGTAAAATGTGCACAAAAATCACGAAATGATTACAAAGCTAACAAATTATTTATTTTAACAAAACTTTCAATATTAGACTTTATGTTACAGTTTATGAGTGAAAGTCAATAATCTATCAAAAGTTTAGCCAAAAGCTGTTGCATTGTATAAGAAATACAACTGTGCAGAAAATACAATTAATACTGGTACTATTTATCTGAAAGTTGTCTCATATAATTGTTGACCAGACCCGGCTGAACCATTTACTATGTACAATAGGAACAGGTATTAATTCACATAAACACATTGCAAAAGCTGTTTTTGTAAAACATTTATTTAAGAAATATGTTTATTTATAAATAACTTATAATTAGTTAATTTTTAAAACATTATAAACCCTTTTGAATGACATATATATGGCATTACGGGTAGTGTTTTGTGGGATGCGTTTGAGTCAACGGTATCTGCTTTTGCATCATTCGGTTGCCATCGCCGGCGAGTCGGAGGTAGAAGTC